TAGGTTGTCCAGATATCTATTTTATAATTATTTCCATAATTATTCACTTAATTTCATATATCTATTAACCGGTTCAATTACAATTAAATATACTAAATCTTAATATTTATTAGTTATAAATGGTCCATAAGGTCCTAGTTAGTCATATATTTATCCTAGTTTACCCCAATATTTATTTCATAATTATTTTCGTCACTTAGTTGATTATTTACTAAATGTGTATAAATTGGCCCAAATACAATTAAATCCATTAAAAATAGCTAAAAATATTATTTTTCAATTCTGGTTGGTCCGAATATGTATATTTATACTAGGTATTTAATTTATACTTTTCCAGATTTTATTTATTTCATTTACTATTTTATTTTTAATTTTTATTAAAATTGGGCCGAACTGGCCCATTACACCGACCCGGCCCAAGAGTTCTGACCCAGACAACTGGGTCATCTTCTCCAGGTCGATTCCGGCGACTTCGCCGGAAACTAGAAAACTCCGGCGAGCTATAACTTGACTTACAGCTAACGGATTTCGACGATTCAAGTTGCAAAATGATCCTTGCGGCGAGACGAAGCTCCTCCACCCCTATCTACGACAAAATATCTGCTTTTTATAAAGACCCGCTTCCACAACTTGCAACTCCGGCGAATGATATCTCTCTCGTTTCATGACCGTTTTCTACGATTCTTCTACCGTTGGATTCCTCTCACGAAGGAGAAGGTTTTTATGTGAGTTTTGGTTTCGGTTATGGGTTATAACGAAGGGTCGAAAAATAGAGTGTGTATATATATATATATATATATATATATATATATATATATATATATATATATATATATATATATATATAGGTCGCAGGTTTTGGGGATGAAGAAAACGCAGATTCGGCCTGCTATTTATAAGGGAAATATGAGGGGTTTAGGATGAGAGTTTGTGTTTAATTTGAACAGCTTCTTCCGCAGCTCCGTTCTTATCTCGTACGTGGTTGAGTTGAAGTTGGAGTTTATCTTCTTTTGGGGCTCTGTATGTGTTCGTGATTACGGCGAAACTCCTTCCGTGAGTTCAGCTTCGTTCGTTGTTATACTAGTACTACGTATTGCTTGGCTTCGTTTGTAGTCCCAGTATTATTATACTATTGTATGAGGAGTATTTCATATTGTTATTACTAGCTAGTACACACATACGTATATTTACTTAATAGGGATCAAGTATTTTACTTCTTATAGTTATTACTAGCTAGTACGTACATACGTATATTTACATAGTACGTGTATTATATATATATATATATATATATATACATATATATATATATATATATACTTCTTATGCGATATGTATAACTGGTACTTACGTGTTATAAAATATTACTTTCATTTTTAAGAAAAAAAAAACGTTACTTTTATTATCAGACCATTTTTATCAGATTAAACATGTCACAATGATAATTTTTTGTCTGATTTACTTATTTAATAAAATGTTGTCCCTATTACTGAAATATTTTTATCTGGCTAAAACGTCATAAATTATGAAATTTTATCTGATTAGAATGTTACAACTAGTGCCACTTTATCTATTCACTTAATTATTAAAATCTTACTTCGGTAACCTTTTATTTCAATAGTAAAATTATTTTATTTTTATTTAAATTTTTGAAGTGTCACAAGCGGATTCATCAGGCCGAGTCATTCACCGTGGGGAGCACCGGTACTCTTTGTAAAGAAGAAAGATGGTACACTTAGAATGTGTATCGATTACCGTCAGTTGAACAAGATCACGATAAAGAATAAATACCCTTTGTCGAGGATCGACGACTTGTTTGATCAATTACGGGGGGCAACCGTGTTCTCTAAGATTGACTTGAGGTCAGGCTACCATCAACTGAAGATCAAGGAGAGTGACATACCCAAAAGTGCATTCCGTACTAGGTATGGTCACTATGCGTTTCTAGTGATGTCGTTCGGGCTTACGAACGCCCCCGCGGCATTCATGGACCTCATGAACCGAGTATTTCATCAATACTTAGACCAGTTCGTCATAGTGTTCATTGATGACATTTTGATATACTCCATGAATGAAGAGGAACACGAAAAACATCTAAGGCTTGTGCTTGAAACACTGCGGGAGAAGCAACTCTTTGCCAAATTCTCTAAATGTGAATTTTGGCTTGGGGAGATCGGTTTTCTCGGGCATGTGGTATCAGGCTCGGGCATTTCAGTTGATAACTCAAAGATTGAGGCGGTCACTAATTGGGAGAGGCCCAAGAACGTGAAGGAGATAAGGAGTTTCCTCGGTTTAGCGGGGTACTACCGCAAATTCGTGGAAAAGTTCTCGGTGATAGCATCTCCACTCACGAAGCTCACTAAAAAGGGGGCTAAGTTTGTGTGGGATGACAAGTGTGAGAAGGGGTTTCTTGAGCTAAAGAAACGTTTGACCGAAGCACCAGTGTTTGCCTTGCCCGTGCAAGGGTTAGAGTATGACATCTATAGCGATGCTAGCATTCAGGGACTGGGATGTGTACTGATGCAATCAGGGAAGGTAATTGCTTATGCTTCTCGCCAGTTGAGGAAGCATGAAGTAAACTACCCCACACATGATCTGGAGCTAGGCGCTGTGGTATTTGCATTGAAGATTTGGAGGCACTACCTCTACGGAGAGTTGTGTCACATTTACACCGACCACAAGAGCCTGAAGTATGTGTTCACTCAGAAAGAGTTGAACATGAGACAGAGAAGATGGATGGAGTTGATCAAGGATTACAACTTGGTCATTGACTATCATCCAGGCAAGGCTAATGTAGTAGCCGATGCATTGAGCAGGAAGAGCTCATCATCGGGGGTTTTACTCACATGCTTACGGGCACTGAGGGCACGCGTGGAGGTATCCATGGATGGGGCGCTATTGGCCAGATTTGAGGTGAGACCCACCTTGTTAGATGAAATCAGAACATGTCAAGGCAATGACGGGGAATGTCAGAAAATCCGGGAACGGATGCTTGTGGGGCCCGTCGAGGGTTTCCGTGAGAGAGAAGATGGACTGCTACTATTCAAGGAACGAGTGTGTGTGCCATCGGATAAGGAGCTCCGAAAGTCTATCCTTGAGGAGGCTCACTCATCTGCGTATGCCATGCACCCGGGCGGTACAAAGATGTACCGGGACTTGAAAGAAAGTTACTGGTGGTCGGGGATGAAGAGAGAGATTGCAGAATACGTGAGCCGTTGCCTTACTTGTCAACAGGTTAAGGCAGAGCACCAACACCCAGCAGGGTTACTACAACCACTTACCATTCCAGAATGGAAGTGGGAGCATGTTACCATGGACTTCGTGGTGGGTCTACCACGGACAGTTAGGAACTACGACACAGTATGGGTGGTAGTCGATAGGTTGACCAAGAGCGCTCATTTCCTACCTATCAACACTACCTATACGCTCGTGCGGTTGGCCAAATTGTACACAGATGAGATTGTGAGACTGCATGGGGTTCCGGTTACTATAGTATCGGATAGAGACCCACGGTTCACATCACGGTTTTGGCCTAAGTTCCAGGAATCCATGGGTACGAAATTGAGGTTTAGCACCGCGTTTCATCCTCAAACGGATGGGCAATCTGAACGGGTGATTCAGATCTTGGAGGACATGTTGAGGGCATGTGCCTTGGAGTTCCAGGGGAGCTGGGACAATCAGTTGGCTTTAGTAGAATTCGCCTATAACAACAGTTATCAGGCGAGTATAGGCATGCCTCCATACGAGGCATTGTATGGGAGGAAATGCCGGACACCATTGTGTTGGGACGAGGTCGGCGAGGCTAAGCTCGAGGGCACCGAGCTAGTCGAGATCACTAAAGAGAAGATAAAAGTTATACAAGATAGGCTCAAGGCTACCCAAGACCGGCAGAAGAGCTATGTTGAAAAACGTCGGAGGACGTTGGAGTTTGAGGTCGGTGATGAGGTATTTCTGAGGGTATCACCTTGGAAAGGGATCATCAGGTTCCTCAGCCGGGGTAAGCTTAACCCACGTTACATAGGTCCGTTCAAAAACCTTGAAAGGATTGGGGTTGTAGCTTACCGACTTCAGTTGACTCCAGAGTTAGAAAAGATTCATAATGTATTTCATGTTTCTATGCTCAAGAAGTATGTGCGGGACCCGTCACATATTCTTGAGAAACCACCGGTGGAGATCCGAGAAGACTTACACTATACGGTGCAGCCGGTGAAAATCATGGACCGACAGGTAAAGAAGCTAAGGAGCAAGGAGGTACCGATGGTAAAAGTACTTTGGAAGAGTGATCGTGTCGAGGAGCAAACGTGGGAATTGGAGACCCTAATGAGGGAACAATATCCATTTCTGTTTGATTAGACATGTGGATTTCGGGGACGAAATCCCAAATAAGGGGGGTAGAACTTGTAACACCGCCCCCAAGTATTTGTACATCATCGAATTATGTATTGAACCCTGAGAAATGTATAAAAGCGTTTTTACGTGATTGTAAATTTTTATCATTCCTTATACGTGAATAGTAAAATTCACGTGGGGCCCACACCGGAGGTGGGGCCGCCCGATATTATCAGAATCACATATTATATTAATCTTGGACTAGATAATATGTATATGGTGGTGGATATCCTAATTGGGCCATGACAATGGCACAAGGTTGACCGGTTGGTCAAATGGGCCAAATTATCGGTATCGGAGAATTTATCAGATAACAGCCCAAAAAAAGGGGTTTCGGAGACTTCTAAATTAAAGTTGGGGAATTCATATTGATTCTAAGGTCCAATAAGGATTGGGAACAAGTGTTATATTTTATTTGACCCGATAAAAATATAATATACTTAAAACAGTCCGGAAAATATAACTTTCGGGACCGGTTGTACACTCGGGTACACAAAGGGTTGACCTCCCACATAAGTGGGGGCCAACCCACGTCCTTGGTCTGGAAAACATCAAGGGGAGCCGCATGAAAGGCATGGCAATGGGAGGCTGATTGGTAAGGAGATCAATCAAACCAACCAAGGGCCCCTCCTCACATTATTTTGGGCTATTGAGACAAAAGTGAGGGGTTCCCTCCACCCACCTCCAATCAGTTCGTCCATCCCACAAGAGAGGTGAGAGAAGCTCTGCAATACTCCATTCTTTGCAGCCATTTACGCACCAAGAACAAAGGAGGAAGGAGGAGGGGAAAAGAGAAGAGAAAAGTTGGTTTTGGAGAGGAAAACTTGTGTTTAGCAAGGTAAGGACTCCATTAATCCCATTTCTTGTTCTTCAATACTCTTTTATGATGCTTCAATCATATTTCACACCCTAGTAATGTTCTACACGTTGGGATGTGTAGAAAGAGGGGTTGGAAGGTGGTTCTAAGCCCAAGGACGGACTTAGAAGCCAAAGTAACCGGTTCGCCGGAAAATAACCTTTTGGAGGTTGTTTGTATTACTATGGGTTTTATGATGATAAAACCTTGTTAGTAACTTGTCTAAGGTATTCAAGGAACTTTCATGGAGTTGAAAAGGTCGCCGGAGTTGTCGCCGGAGTTCGTTGAAGTTCGCCGGAGTTTCGCCGGAGCTAAATCGGGAAGGCTAGAACTTCATAAGCTTCATTAAGGTGAGAAGACGGCTTTATGCTTTATAACTTTTGCGTGAGGCATGAGATTACCTAAAGTAATCAAGGATATGTTTTGTGGAATGATTAAAGATAATCAAGTATTTGCTTATGCCATGATTTTGCATAAAACATAGTTGAAAAGCATGTTATGTAGGTTTGGTGATAAACAATGTGATAACTTATTATGTGTGGTGTTCCAGGAATCCAAAATGGTATTTTTGGATCAAGGACGTCGAGAAGTATAAGTGTATAAAATTTCATGTTAATCAGACTTCGTTTGGGCGGTCAAACGAGCGTTGACCGCCAAGACAAAGGTGATACCCGACTGGGTATGGGTGCATACCCGACCGGGTTTTGATTAAAAATGGCTCCAGAAGCCACTGCCACACTAGACCCGACCGAGTATGGGTGTAGACCCGACCTGGTCTCAAGTAAAGTTGGCTCCAGGGGCTACTGCCTCACCCTACCCGACCGGGTAAGGTTGGATACCCGACCGGGTATTGGTTTACACTCAAAACGGGCAGTTTTGAGTAGGTTAACGTGGGCCGTTCGGGTGGGACCCGCCCACATTGGATCCTAAGGATTGTTATATGGCTATAGGGTTAGGCATTGTCCATAGTTAAAGGGATGAAAGGTTAGCCATATCCAGGTTAGGATTTGGTAGAGAATAGACTGGGGATTGAGTGCCCTTGGACGGTAAATGATCCAGAATACTCCAGGTGGGGTCGAGTACCCTTGGACGGTAAATGATCCAGAATACTCCAGGTGGGGTCGAGTACCCTTGGACGGTAAATGATCCAGAATACTCCAGGTGGGGTCGAGTACCCTTGGACGGTAAATGATCCAGAATACTCCAAGTGGGGTCGAGTACCCTTGGACGGTAAATGATCCAGAATACTCCAGGTGTGGTCGAGTACCCTTGGACGGTAAATGATCCAGAATACTCCAGGTGGGGTCGAGTACCCTTGGACGGTAAATGATCCAGAATACTCCAGGTGGGGTCGAGTACCCTTGGACGGTAAATGATCCAGAATACTCCAGGTGGGGCCGAGTACCCTTGGACGGTAAATAATCTTAAATACTCCAAGATGGGTTGAGTGCCTTGGACAGTAAATGATCCTAAAACACTCGGTAGTATGAATCGAAGGTAGACTATAGCTTGTGAGCTAGGTAACCGGGAAAGGAGTGAGAAAAGTCAGGTAAGAACTTTATCTCTAAAAGACTCTTTAAGGTAAATGACCTACGGGTTGAGTATTTTACGAGTATATATACAGTATGTATCATCGGGTGGATGAGAGACATCTATATATATGTATCACCCTATTTTTGGGTCTCGTGTCTGAAACATTAGTTATTCTTCATATAGCCTGCTTGTCACTAGTACTTCTATGGAGTACTGACCCCTCCGGGGGTCCTCACATTTTTCAGGTTGAGGCTAGAGTCCTACTACCTGCACCTTTGCCTAGGGTGATCATTCGAGGAGGAAGACGTGGTTCGTGCTTCCATTCGTATTTTTGAAATTTATAAACTGCTCATGGATTTTTGAACAATGTTTCCATTAAAACAGTTGGGGGTCTGCGTGCCCGTGTTTGCCACGTGTGGCTAAGTATCAAACATATTATTATTTCCGCATTTGTTTGATTATGATATTGATGTTGATTGTATGTGTTTACTAATCGGTTTGGCAATAGAATCAATCGGACGCCTTGTAAAATCCAATAGGGATGAACCGTTGTTATTCTTATCGGGATGTACGGCGGTTATCTACGTGGCTCGGATGCGGTCCGGGGCGTGACATACATCTCGCAGCTGCACGTTGGGCCTTCGGCCGTAGTGGTGGAGCCAGGCGTCGATGATTTGCTGTCCAGGCCACCCGAGGGATGTATTGCCGTCCACATCCTGTCGGTGTCAATGGGCCTCCGGTTCCCCCTGCACCCATTCCTCCGGAAGTACCTCAGGTTCGTTGGACTTGTCCCTTGCCAACTTACCCCCAACAGCCATTCATATATTGCTGGCTTTCTGCACCTGTGCCGGACGAGGGATGTTACTCCAAGCTTGGACCTCTTCTTCCAAAGCTTCAACTTGTGCCGAGGGGGGCACGCGAATGCCGAGGGCTTCGCCAATTTGCAGCAGATAGCGAAGTTCAAATTGTTCACTGAGGCGCCCTCGTCCAACAAGGGCTGGAAAGACAAATGGTGCTATGTCTGGTTGGCCGAGAACCCCTTCCCGAGGGAGCTACGGGACCGCTTTCGGCGCCACGAGAAGGTGGGGAGTATCGCCCTAGAGAAGGATGGCATGAAACTCGCCAAGATCCCGGAGGGCAAGAAGAAGGTCGTGACGATCAAAGAATGTACTCTCGAGGATGGCTTGCATGCCCTCGGGTTCCAACGGTACCGGTACATTGGGGAGGCAGATGAGAAGTACCCCAGGCTGGACAGACCCTTCGAGGGGGCTGGAGGTACTAGCCGAGGGCCCTTAGTTGTTGTACTCAGGCATTTTTATTTTGCGACCCGATAGTTGTCAGTTGTATGGATCCTTCGGGTTAATCTTTTTCTTCATTGTTTTGCAGGTATGGAGGCTCTCTTTGCCATGAAAAAGAAGAAGGAGAGGGCTCAGGTCAAGAAGAAGGAGATAAAGGAGCCCTCGGGCCAAAAGCCCATTGATGAGGTCTTCCTGAAGGAGGTTGTGGAGCCTTCTGCTGATGCTGCCCTTGCTACTGAGGCCGGGGGGCCGGAGGCCGAGGTGGCCGTCAAGAAGAAGAAGGGAGGCAAGGGGTGGAGCCCCGATCAAGAGACAGAAGGTTGCCGGGGGCACCATTGGAATGGTGGCCCCCCTCATAGTAATTGATGATCAGCCCTCCGCTGACTCCCCGGCCGGTGACACTCCGATGGCTCAGACAGATCTTCCCTCGGAGGACTTGCCTCGGGAGATTCTTCAGCTCTCCCTCACCTCGGGGGCATCTGTGCTGCACGGTTCAGCTGAACCGATGTCTTTCCTGAGGGGGATTACCTCGATGATGGATAAGCAAGCCCTCTCCACCTACGACGACGACGCCCTCGAGAGCAAGGCCCTTCGATCATCTCTGGCTGTAAGTATTTTTACTTTGCTTTTATCTTAACACTTAGTACATTCTCAACGCCCGTCTGAACCCATTGTCCGTTGTTTAACAGACGTGTATAGTCCTCGGTGGGCAGGCCCGAAGGCGTGAGGAGTGGCGCCGTCATAAGGCCGAGCTAGAGGAGTCCGTGAAGGAGCTGATCCATGACAAGGACGCTCACCTTCGGGCGGTGTGCAAGCTGGAGGACGCCCTTCGGCAAGCGGAGCTGAAGCTGAAGAAGGCCAGAGATGACGGCAAGGCCGAGGGCAAGGCAGAGGCCGAGAGGGTTGCGGCCGAGGAGAGGAAGCAAGCGGCTGAGGACGCCGAAAATGCCAAGGCCGAAGCTGTTGTCAAAGCCCGAGAAGAGGCCATCGATGGGTTCATCTCCGAGGGTTGGAAGGCCGAGGTCCAGATGGAGTGGGTGGCTTCCGTGGTGAAGGCCACGATCGAGGAGTGGGTGAAAGGCCCCGGGCTCGACTGGATGAACGAGAGGGGCGACACCTATTATCAAGCCGGCGAGTTCTTCACCCAGCATCTGGTTTACTGGAGGCTCGCCTGGCATTTCGGCACTTCCCTGGAGGAGTTTGACCCCTCGGTGTATGGCCTTCCCCCGTTGCAGCCAGATGTGAGAGTCCCCCTCCCCGAGGGCGACGAGCGCCCGGTGATTCATGATTCTATGATGATGAGCGGCGATGATGATGGTGCTACCGTCGGGGACAATGCCGTCGAAGAAGAAATCTCCTCCAAACCTGCCGCAGGGACCGTCGATGAAGTTGCTGATAAATCTTAACTTGTACTTAGCTGATTTTTGAAAAATCTTTGTAATGAACCTTTGTCACCCCTCGGCTTTGGCCCGTATGTAATAGTTACACTGACTTTCCTTTTGATGATTGATGGATGAATGTTAGCCTTCGGGCTTTTATATATGAATGTGTTGTCCTTCTTTTCTTTTGAATGTATGCCTTCGTCTCGTTTTGAATGTATGCCTTTGTTCCTTTGAATGTATGTTTAGGACTTAGAATACTTTCTTCCAAGTACGTTGCCCCTTGTAGCCCTCGGCTACTAGTAACCTTTAGTTACTTTAACGTTTTACCGGGGGCACAGTGTTCAGGACTTAGAAATATTTCCAAGTGTTTGTTCATGTGTTGGCCCCCGGTTGATCTTCCCTACTGGTTCTGTGTAGCCTTCGTGCGATGGCCAGAGGTGAAAGTGCTTAGGACTTAGAGAATTCTTCTAAGTGTTTGAATACAGTCATAGCCTTCGGTTGTTGGGCACCCTTTGCTAGATGTGTGACCGAGGGTCCAGCAAAAGTTAGGGCTTAGAAAATTTTTCTAAGTTTAGTCTCACCAAGCCTTCAAATGTGTGACCCCTCAGGTTGAAGGGAGATTCGGGACTTAGAGACTTGTCACCGAGGGTAAGATATTTTGGGAGTTAGAAATTTTTCTAAGTGTTGCACGTATGCAGTAGGAGCCCTCGGCCAGCATGGAGATTTGACCGAGGGTCAAAGTATGTAGGACTTAGAAAAAATTTCTAAGTATAGCTTCACCAAGTCCTCAACCGCATGTCCCCTCGGGTAGCATGGAGAACCCAATCCTTAGGACTTAGGAAAATTCTAAGTGTAGTTTCCCATTGGAAGCCCTCGGCTGGTAGCCTCCTTCCTGATGTGTGAATATTGGGCCTCCTTCCTTGTGTAGTCTTCGGTTAGTAATAGATGCCTCCGACTGTTGTCATTTTCCAATAGTGTGGACTCATGGAAAATTTGTAGGACATTGATGTTGTAGTAAATGCTGGTGGGATATAGGTGCCCTCGGCATTCATTTGAAGGGTTCTTGAGCTGCCTTAGTCAGTTGCATCCCCTTTTACAGGATAGGACCCCTCGGTAGCAATGGATGATCGATGGTAGGTGCCCTCGGCACTTATTAGAAGTGAACTCATCCCTTTGTATTGTTGAGTAGTAGCCTTCGGGAAATAGGAGCCTTCAGTTACCGGAGGTGTTCCCGCAGGGAGCCCTCGGTATGTTGTGATTTGTTGGAGTGTTGTACTCATTGATTTCTCGATGAGTCTACTCCCCTTCACCCCCTCTGTTTTTTTTTTGTTGGTGGTGAAGGGAAGGCATCAAGAAACTTGGTTTCTTGGTAAGGCTGGGCCTATCAGGAGACCATCAGAATACACCAATGGCTCTCCTCCCTCGGGTTAACCTTCCGAGTTCCGAGGGGATCGAGGGTCGTTTCCTGGGTACAAGATATGATGGTCTGTAACCTGCCTCCCCTTGGGGGATGGCGCGGAAAGCGCCTCATTTTTGAAAGTCGTCCCCTCGGCGCTAGACATAGTCCGTGGCCTGCCACACCCTTGGGGTGGTAGCGCGGGGAGCGTTTCGGTTTGGAAGTCGAATCCTGGGCATTTCTCGTGCCTGTCATACCCTTGGGGTGATGACGCGGAAAGCGTTCCGTTTTTGAAAGTCGAATCCTGGGCATTTCGCATGCCTGTCATACCCTGGGGGTAGTGACGCGGAAAGCGTTTCAAGGAAGGGTTTTCATTTGCACACTAGTTGCAAATGGCTGGGGGCACTACGTGCCGCCGGCACCGATGGTGGCGCCTTCGGTATATGCGTCCTCGTGGGGTACGGCTTTTAGAAACAACACTTGGTGTTAGTTTCGATATGTAGCCCCCCGGTACTTGGTACCGAGGGGTCTTCTGTAGGAACACTTAGTGTTCTTTTGACGTTGATGGGTGAGATGTGTACCCCCGGTACTTGGTACCGAGGGGTCTTCTGTATGAACACTTGGTGTTCTTCTCTTTGATGTTGATGGTGGAGATGTGTACCCCCGACACTGGGTGCCGAAGGGTCTTGAAATGAAACACTTGGTGTTTTCACTGTTGTTGAAGGTGTTGATGGTGTCCGCCCTCGGCACTCGGTGCCGGAGGGGGTTCTTCTCGTGGTGAGGCCTGGGGCCTGTAGTTGGTATGAGGGCTTGGCCGCTCATAAGTGTTTTGCGGTTGTTCTTGGTGTCTTGAATGTGTCTTCATTCCTCAAAATTGGAGGCCTTGGGCCATAGGATAGTACATTCACTAGTTATGAGGGCTTGGCCGCTCTTACATCATTGATAAAATTTAACTAAGTGGTGTACATTCCAGTGCCTAGGGACCTCTTTTCCGTTGGGGCGTTTGAGCTTGTAAGTCCCAGGTTTGATGATGGCTGCTATGATGTAGGAGCCTTTGAACTTTGGTGCCATTTTGCCTCCCTCGGTCAGTTGGCTGGCTTCCCTCCTCCGGAGGACATAGTCCCCCACTTGGAATTCTCGGGTGCGAACCTTGGCGTCGATGTAGCCTTTGACTTGCCTTCGGTAGTTTTCTGCCCGGATGAAGGCTTGCTCCCAGCGTTCTGAAAGGAGGTGGAGGTCGAGGGCCATGTTGCTGTCGTTGACCTCGGGGTCATATTGGATCACCCTCCGGGTGGGAGAGGTGACTTCCGTAGGAGCTTTGGCTTCAAAACCGTAGCAGAGGGAGAAGGGTGTTTCACCCGTTGCTCACCGGGGGGTGGTGCGGTAGGCCCAAAGGATGTTGTGGAGTTCTTCCACCCAGCCACCGCCCTCGGCCTCCAGCTTCTTTTTGAGGCCCTCGAGCAAGGTCTGGTTGGCGTTCTCTGCTTGCACGTTGCCTTGAGGGTAGGCCACGGAGGAGAAGGTGTGTTTGATGCCTCATGCCTCCAGAAGGGCACAGAAGGGGGCTGCCTCAAATTGTGTTCCGTTGTCGGAGATGATCTGCTGGGGGACGCCAAACCTTGTGAGGATGTTCTTGAGGACGAAATGACGGCACTTCGCCTCTGTGATACTGGCGAGGGGCTCAGCCTCCACCCACTTGGTAAAGTAGTCGATGGCCACAATGATGTACCTGTTGTTGGAGGTACCCCTCGGCAGAGGGCCCACAAGGTCTATTCCCCATCGAGAAAAGGGGACGGATGTGCTGATGGGGGCATAGTTGACCGCTGGCCTGCCGGAGGCTTTCTGGAAATGTTGGCATGCGGTGCACCTTCGGGCAAGGTCAGCGCAATCCCTGGCCATGGTTGGCCAGAAGTAGCCCTGGAGAATGAGCCTTCGGGATATGGAGAAGGGTCCCTGGTGAGCTGAGCAAGTGCCACTGTGCACCTCCTCCATTGCGACCTCGGCTTCATCTTGATGAAGGCACCGAAGTAGCGTGCCGTTGTAAGACCGTTTGTAGAGCCTTCCGTCTTCGATGGTGTAGCTAGGAGCCCTCAGCTTTGTTAGTTTAGCGCGGGTCTCATCTTCGGGTAGCTGCCCTGCGGAGATGAAGGTGATGATATCTGAGATCCAGTCCTCTTGGCGTTGTTGTATGTTCATAACGGGGCTTGACTGGATACTTTAGAGACTGAGTTCCTCAATTTTAGCAATCTTGGAGATGTGCTCGGGGGAATCGGCCGAGAGCTTAGATAGTATGTCGGGCTCGGAGTTCTGAGCCCTCGGTATTTGAGTGAGAGAGTGTGCCTCAAATACCTTAAGCAACTCCTTGGCCGCCTCCTTGTACTGTTTCATTCTTCCCTCCTTGGCCTCATACTCCTCGGAGATTTGGCCCACGACCAACTTGGAGTCGCATTTTATATGGACCTGCCGAGCCTTCATGTTGGCAGCCAGCCGAAGGCCACATAGTAGGGCCTCATACTCGGCCTCGTTGTTGGAGACTTTGAAGGAGAAGCGGATTGCATAGTAGGCTTTGAAGCCCCCGGGAGTAACGAGGACTACCCCTCCCCCGCATGCTCTGGTCGCGGAGGAGCCGTCGGTGTAGAGGGTCCACCAGTCGTCCGAGGTAGCCGAGGGCTCCCCGTCCGTGGCTGCCCTTGCGGTACACTCTGTCACAAAGTCCGCCAGGGCTTAGCCCTTGATGGCAGGCCTCGGACGGATGTCAATGTTGTATTGGCTTAGGAAGATAGCCCATTTCACCATGCGGGAGGAGCTGGTGGGGCTCCTCATGAGGGCGTCGAGGGGTTGATGAGTGAGGACCTGAACCGGGTGAGCCTGAAAGTAGTGGCCCAACTTCTTGACGGTCCAAACGATGGCTAACACCGTTTTTTCCACAGGGGAGTACCTGAGCTCGGCCTCCCTTAGGGTCTTGCTTACATAGAAGATGGCATGTTGGATGTCGTCTTCCTCCCGGATGAGCACGGAGCTGATGGCTGCCGGGCTGACCCCAAGGTAGAGATAGAGGGTCTCCCCTACCTTTGGTTTGGATAGCACAGGGGGTGAAGATAGGTATCGTTTGAGCTCGTCGAAAGCCCCCTGGCATTCTGGAGTCCATTGAAAGCCAGCCGTCTTCCTCATGATCTAGAAGAAGGGTAGAGACTTCTCCGCTGATTCAGATAGAAAGCGGTTGAGGGCTGCCAGGCGGCCCGTCAACCGTTGAACTTCATTCACATTGCGTGGGGGCTCCATGTTGATGATGGCCTGGATCTTCTCGGGATTGGCCTCAATACCCCTTCGGCTCACCATGTAGCCTAAGAATTTGCCCCCTTGGACGCCGAAGGTGCACTTCTTCGGGTTTAGCCGAAGGTTGAACTTCTGCATGATGGCGAAGATTTCCCGGAGGTCGTCGGCATGGCTGGAAGATTGCTTGCTTTTGACGATCATGTCGTCAACATAGGCCTCCATGGTGCGCCCTAGGACGGCTTGAAAGACTCGGGCCACCATCCGGGTGTAAGTGGCCCCTGAGTTCTTTAGGCCGAAGGCCATCACTATGTAGCAGAAGATGCCCTCGGGAGTCATGAAGGCTGTCTTTTCGGCGTCTTCCTCATGCATGAAGATCTGATGATACCCGCGGAATGCGTCGAGGAATGACATGATTTCACACCCCGCGGTTTC